TGGATTTATTTTTTCACCACATAATCTCTTATAATCTACTACATAATCTCTTATCTAAAGCTTTTTTTCAACATTGTTATAACAATAAAAATGTAAGATACATAAACAGAAAGGGGACATTTCATCCATATGTTAATGGTGTTGTGTGTTCAAGACTACAGAGCTCCAGGTATATTTTAGATATGAGACCCTTGTGGGTTGTATGGCTAGTGAAGATCTCCTCTCAATCCATGCAAATCCCCTAACAACAAATCCTCAAAGAAACAACTGCCCAATAAATAAGTGGGCTAAAGACTTACAGAGAAACTTCTCTGAAGAGGAAAGAAGGATGGCCAATAGACACATGAAGAAATGCTCATCCTCCCACCGTAAAAGAAATGCAAATCAAAACAAGATTGAGATTCCACCTCACCCCAGTTAGAATGGCTAGAATCAAGAACTCTAATAACAACAGATGCTGGAGGGGATGTGGACAGAAGGGAACCTTACTGCATTGTTGGTGGGAGTATAAACTTGTTCAACCACTTTGGAAAGTAGTATGGAGGTTCCTCTAAAGACTCCACATAGAGCTCCCCTATGATTCAGCAATCCCACTTTGGGGCATTTAACCACATGATCATAAACAAGACCATACTAAAGCTACCAGCACAACTATGTTTATTGCAGCTACCAGCACAACTATGTTTATTGCAGCAGTATTTACCATAGCTAAGATATGAAACCAACCCAGATGCCCCTCAGTTGATGAATGGATCAAGAAAATGTGGTATGTATACACAATGGAATTCTATGCCTCCATCAGAAAGAATGACATTGCTCCATTTGTTAGGAAATGGAAAGACTTGGAAAAAATTATATTAAGTGAAGTAAGCCAGGTCCCATGGTTTCCATTATTTGCAATAACTATTATATGTCTAAGTCAAGCAGAAGTGGTCAAATAAGTTGATGTTAGGCGAAATGAACCCCAAATAAAGACTGATAGTTTTTCTTTCTTGCTATTGTTTCTAACACATTTATAAGATGATTTCTTTGTTGCTTTGTATGTCTCTCCCCCACGGTATAACCCCTGTTTTCACTGTACTTGATGTTGGTATAATTTGGGGAGGGGAAGGGAAAAACCAAATTGTTTAAATAGCGATACAGGTGGACCCATTGCAACAATGAGATGTACAAGACCTTATGTCGAAAAACGAAATTTACAACTTTGGCCCCGGGGGGGGGGTGGGGGGGAGCCGAAGCAGGGGGGGGGGGGGGGGAGGGGAATGGGAGGGGATGGGAAGGGGAAACAAAGGAGGAGGCAACAATGCTTGATAAAAAATATATACTCATTACCTTGCTCATGTAATTTTAGCCCCTCTGTACGGTATTTTCATAAGAAAAATTTTAAAAAAGTTAAAAAAAAAGACTACAGAACAACATAACTAAATGGTGGGGCTCCATTCCAATTGTTCCAGAATATAGAGACACAGTGACAATGAGTTTCAGGACAGGGCTTTGAATAGAAATAGTTCTCAACCTTTTTTTCAGGACTGTATAAAGAAACTTGGGGATCCCTTCATTTCCCCACTCATATGTACACACAAAATGAGACACTTGGAGACAAAGCAGGGCTTCTAGCATTCTGCAAATATGATGGCAGATTTCCCAAGAATTATGCTGAATTAGAGGAAATCAAGAATGGAGAATGGCTTTAAAAAGAAAACCTACAAAGAGTTATATGACCCCAACCTCAGCTGCCAGCACCAGAGAGAAGAGAAACAAGGATTTTGTTATTCATAAGACATTAAAACAAACACATGTAGAGCACTGATAAGCATTTCGCTCAAAGGGGTAAAAAGAACAGGAAGGACTGAAAGTCTCCACACAAACTAATCTTTTTGATGAAAACGTTTCGTTTTTCCCCCCTTTTGGTTTCTATAAGACAGCACACAAAGTGCTCATTTATATTTCCTTTGTTTTCATCCCAAAGCTAGAAGATCAAAGAGTTAAAAACCTTCTTGCCATAGAAGGTCGTTACAAAACTAAATGTGCAATTCAAAGTGGAAAAATAGAATGAATGCCAAGGAGATGTTTTACGGAATAACATTCTAGATGTGTTCTTTGAAGAACGTTTGCAGATTCTTTGATTGTTTTGGGTCACAGGGAACAATATGTCCACGTGAACCACTGACGGATGGTTATATTCTGACAAACCATCGCCTGAATGCTTACAATAACTAATACACTTGACATAGAATTACTTAATAAGTTTGAAAATATTCATGAGAATTTTGTATAGAAAATGGTATTAAAAACTTCCATATCTGTTTTCCCTGGGGCCTAATTAAATTCCCAAACATGAGATGTGAATATATTTATTTGAAAAATAAATAGCAGCACAGTTTTTCCAAGATCTGACCAAGTTGGATGTCAAGAGAAAAGATTAGCTTAATGCTTCCCATTAACTATTAAGATTGCATTTTTTTCTCTTCTTTTTTTACCCAACAACTTTAGAATGGAAACAAATACCCAATGCAGTGGCGACTTGCAAAATTGCCAGAACTACCATGTTGATTTATGAAAAAGAGACAGGATGTTGGACTGGTGTAGCATTTCAGAATGATATGGCAGAATTTGCTGTTCGCTTTATGCTGAGGTCTGAATGTTGGCATCCCTCTTCTCAAATCATATGTTGGAACTAATCCCCAGTGTAAGAGTGCTGAGAGTTAGAGCCTTGAAGAAGTGAGTAGGCCTAGCCCAGAGACCCATGTGAATGGGATTACTGCCCTTTTAGACATCTGGAAGAAGCTCTGTACCCTTCTCTTGTGTGAGGACATAGTAATGAACCAGGAAATCTACTAGTGCCTTGATCCTGGACTTTGCACCTTCAGAACTGTAAGAGATAAATTTCTAGTTTTGTAAAATTTCCAGTCTAAGGTATTTTGTACTCTAAAACAATGTTGCTGTTGAATTTCAACATTAGGACAGGAACAGCAGTACAGCAAGTGACCATTTTACTTTTAGCCTTATGGCTTTCTAGAAACTCAAAGGTTGAATAGTAGAGGTTACTGATAGACTCTAACAGAAATGATCAAAAGAGTTGCCTCCTAGTATTTGAAAACTTGCTGCTTTTATGTTGCAACAAAAGTAATTCTAGAGTAGTCTAGGTTTTGATTGGAACACTGGAATAGCAAATTGTTTAGATAATGATTTTCAGAAGAGCAAACAAAATGATAGCATAGAAAATTTTTAAAAAAACAACTGTGATTAAGTTTAAGCAATTATACTTTTTACTTACTTGAAACAAGTAACTGTCCTGTTTCACTAAAATATAAGTCTATTTGAAGTTCCACTGAAAGTTTTCTGATGCCAATTAAGTGCCATTTATTTCCTCCTTATACTGGTAGTGCATGCTATCTTCCTACAGGACAACCAGTTTGCAGAGGGAAAATTACTGAGCAACAAAATGAAGAGGGGGTGTAAGTCAGCTGAGCTTTCTGAACCCTAGGAAAAGAAACTTTCCTCCCACTCATGAAAGAGGGTGATTGTGCTCAGTGCCACTTATCCACTGCCAACAATCTGGTAAGCCTTCTATTCAGTGTGCTACCAGGGCTGCAACAAGGTGACCTGGGGTTTGGGGCTGAGGTCAGAGATGGGTGACTGACTGAAAAATGAAACTAGTCAAAAGGAAAGAATCCTAGGAATGGGTGATTACTCACCCATAAAAGTCACCTAATCTAAAAGATAGCATAGAAAAGCATTTTTAAATGGAATCCTATTGGTTCTCTCAAACGGGTAAACTTCCTCTATTTCTTTTTCACTGTTTTTTTGGTGGTTTTTTTTTTCATTTTGTCTCTTCCTGATTTGCTCTTTTGCTTTTTTTATCTTCTTCTCACTGCAAACCCAATTACAAAACTAAGGATCAAATGGCAGGAATGAAAATATTACAGTGCTACTAGAAACCTGCTCCAAACTAGCCAGTCAGCTTCTCACACCAAACACCTACCTCTAAAGGGAGCCTGCCAAATACATGTCTAAATGATATAATGACATTATCGCCCACAAGTGATTAGGCAAAAGAAGCTCTTTTAAAGCTGAAGGAATCTTAATGGATAGATACCTATTTTCTCTTTCACAACTTTTCTTCTCTGTCTCTGTCTCCCTTTCTCTGTCTCTGTCTCTCCACACACACACAATAGGGTAGATACCTATTAGAAAGAGAGATAATAGAAAGAAGGAATATATTTGGAGTTAATTCATTTTCTTCTTCCAAAAATATAATAAGTGAAAAAAATAAAAATACTTCACAACTAAATCTGCAAATGTCACTTGAAAGAAATAAAAAAAAGACTAAGTGTACTTTGGAGAAGAACTTAATTATGAATAGCCAAAATCTGATATAGGAAAGAAAAATGTTTACTACTTATCTGATTTCTTAAGAAACCGGCAAAAACATCCTTAAAGTTAGCAAGTGTTCATTTATTTCTCTCCAATGTATAGAAAGATGGAAGATTTTAGTTTTCTGTTTTATATTGATGTCCAGAAATCACACAAGGAAGTCAATTTTATACAAAATAATTTTCCAAAATTAGTTTTAAAAGAGTCAATTTCCATAGATCAACTTCAGTAGGTCACATAATATATCCTTAATCTAAGTTCTTTAGTTTTATTGGTACATTATAAATTATTTATCTTGTATAAACACATTAGAAACAGAATTAGAATGTCTTTGGTTAATATAGCTCACAGTATTAAGTTAAAATAGTATAATGCATGTTAGGCCAAGAGAAATGTAAATATGGGGTAAAAGAACATATTTTAGTCAGCTTCCCATTAAACATTGAAAAGTTGACTTATCTTAAAAGAAAGCGAGTCACTACATCATTCTGCTACAAGCAAACATTTCTTTGTAAATAAGGATGAACTGACAATGTTTGAAAGTATAGTTCATCAAAATCACAACAAGAAACCAAATATTATGAACATGCAAAATTCCATGTTTATTTAATATCCATTACATAGCCAGTTCATTGAATCCAGTCTTCGTAAAGACAAATAACATTTCTGATGAACATAAACAATTTCATACAGTTGAAATTCATCTTGTGTTTTCACATGAATAAAGATGTCATTATGCAAGATCTTTTAGCAATAAAGACCTTGCCTTGAGTTGGCATGGCATCGCTCAGTGCTTCAAGGCAGCATGAGACTCCATCCAGATCTGGAGGAGAGATTAACAGCTCTCTATCAAGATGCTCAGTGATCAGCAAGTCCACATTCAGCTGCTGTGAAACGTGCTCCAGTACCAGCATTGGCCTCCACTGTGCTTGATGTCATGCAGAACATATACAGAGTTCTTGATTATTCCTATGATAAACATTATTTTGGGAAAATTGTTAAGCACAATAGACACACAACGTAAAAAGTCAGGCAGAGGTATAGTCTTAGCTTATTAATAACATTAACGATTAGTTATTTGTGTAGCTGTTTATATGTATTATGGTATGCTATGTGTCAAGCACTGTGTTTAGTACATTTATGCACCCAAAATGGATACCTAATAAATAGCATAATTATTTTCACTCCAGAGAGCAAGAATCAGGAATGCCATCTGATAGGTAGTGATAGAAGCAGATGGATGGCCCTTTTCTCCATCAAACACAGACCAGGAACAACCATGGTCTCCTGTGTTCAATATTGTGGATGTCCTAATAGCTATCACCAGGCCATTCACAGCCATTTTCTGCCTCTTCTCTGTTGTAGAGCCTAGAAAGCTTTTTGTTGTTGTTGTTGTTCTTGAAAGACCTGTTTCCTCTTCTTTGCTAATATTTATTCTCTTCCAGTGTTCACATTTCAAACATAACATAACTTTCCTGACTCCTAGGCATGGTCATGTGGCTCTCACCAAGGAAATGTGATTTACTAACTGGGGCTTCCAGGATTGCTTGTTTATTTATTTATTATTTGTTTGTTTCTTTTGTGCTAATCCTTGGGCATAAACTCATGGCCTGGGCACTGTTCCTGAGCTTTTGTGTTCAAGGCTACCACATAGACACAGCATCACTCCTGGTTTTGGTGGTTCATTGGACATAAGTGTCTCATGGACTTTTCTGCCAGAAATGCCTTTGAACTGTGATCCTCAGGTCACAGCTTCCTGGATAGCGATGGTTACTAGCATAAACCTCTGGCACCTGTCCCTTTTCAAAAAAGAAGAAATGTGATCTTTCCACACTTCTCCTTACTAAAAGCATATAGGTTAAATAGTAAGATAAGCTATCTGAGCTAATACTCAGGGGGGCAAAAAAGGAAAAATGTTGTAGCTTTTGCCCTGACCACAGTTCGACCATGTAGAATCAGAGAAATTGAGGACCAATGAGAACAAAAAAAGAATTACAGGAAATATATAAGGTATTTTTGAAGAAAATAAGATGCTCAAAATATTTTTTTAGGATTTTTAAAAATTAAATTAAGTAAAATCTATTTTCTAACCTCCTCCCTTTAATGACTGAATTCCCATCTCCAGTGCTAATTGAGGAGTGATCTTAGACAGAGGTGTTTCACCTTTCGGAAGGTACCATAATTCTTCAGCTATGAAGTCAATGTTTTACAATTCATTTACATGGCATTGTTTTTAGGATTAAAACAGTAGATGTGAATAATCTAATACTGTGTTTGACACATAATATAGTTAACAGTTTTTCTTTCCCTAGTCCTCCTTCCACTCATGTGTGAAATCTTAAGCTGCATTCCTGGCAGTAGGCAGCAGAATAGTAACTACCAGAGGTTTAGGGAGGGGAGCAAAGAGGGAGGGACAAGAAGAGATAGCTTATCAGGTTCAAAATCACAGTCAAATTGGGGGAATAAGTTCTGGTGTTCTATTTCAATGGGTGATTTTAATTATCAATATTGTATCATATAATTCAGGATAGCCAGAGGGGAAGAATTTGAATATTTTCATCATGAAGAAATGATAAATGTTTGAAATGATAGACAACCTAAGTATCCCAAATGGATTAGTATGCAAATTATCAAGGTAACAAAACATCACACTGTACCCCATAGAGATGTATAATGACTGAGCTATAAACAAGAAGAGGAAAAATGCTTCCAGGCACCAGACAAGAATCCTTATCTTAAATTGAAAGATAATAATTGTATATCTTTTGATTGATCTTTTGTAGCTCTAGGGTATTTAACAGGTGCTAGTATTTAACTGCTACAAAGGTCACCAGTTCTGATGTAAAGACATGGTTCTCGCTTCTGTTACCCTGGACTCTGAGCAGTAAAAACAACAGGTCTTACCACAAAACTTATCTCCATATTTTCATCTAGGGGCTGTGATGAGGAATCATACATGTTAGTGATAGCAGTATTTCTTCCTAGGTTGCAAATTTCTTGAAAGAAGCAACCATGGTTTGTAAATGCTTATTTCCCCCACAGAACTGGAATTAAGAAATAAGTAGCAATTAGGGTATCAGAATAGAAAAATGATTTTTATGACCTTATAATGATTTCATGATTTAATAATTCAAGTTTCTGGTGTTTTTCTTTTTTTTCTATTTTTATTAAATTTTAAAAATACCATACAGAGGGGTTACCATTACATGGGCAAGGTAATCAGTACATTTCTTATCAAGCATTGTTGCCTCCTCCTTTGTTTCCCCTTCCCATCCCTTCCCATCTTCCTCCCCCACCATCCCCTCCCCCCCCCGCGCCAAAGTTGTAAAATTCGTTTTTCGCCATAACGTCTTATACATCTCATTGTTGCAATGGGTCCACTTGTATCCCTATTTAATAACCATGTGTTTTTCTTTTCCCCTCCACAAATTATACCAACATCAAATACAGTGAAAACAGGGGTTATACCTTGGGGGAGGTACATACAAAGCAACAAAGAAATATCTTATAAATATGTTAGAAACAATAGCAAGCAAGAAAAACTATTTGAGTCCTTATCTTGGGGTTCATTTTGCCTAGTATCAACTTATTTGACCACTTCTGCTTGTCTCAGACATATATTAGTTATTGCAAATAAGGGAAACCATGGTACCTATGTTTCTTTGGGCCTGGCTTACTTCACTTGACATATTTTTTCCCCAAATCTTTCCATTTCCTAACAAATGGGGCAATGTCATTCTTTCTGATGGAGGCATAGAATTCCATTGTGTATATATACCACATTTTCTTGATCCATTCATCTACTGAGGGGCATCTGGCAACCCTATCTTAGCTATGGTAAATACTGCTGCAATAAACATAGTTGTGCTGGTAGCTTTAGTATGGTCTTGTTTATGATCATGTGGGTAAATGCCCAAAAGTGGGATTGCTGGGTCATAGGGGAGCTCTATGTGGAGTCTTTTGAGGAACCTCCATATTACTTTCCAAAGTGGTTGAACAAGATTATACTCCCATCAACAATGCAGTAGGGTTCCCTTCTGTCCACATCCCCTCTAGCATCTGTTGTTATTAGAGTTCTTGATTCTAGCCATTCTAACTGGGGTGAGGTGGAATCTCAATGTTGGTTTGATTTGCATTTCTTTTATGTCCAGAGAAGTTGAGCATTTCTTCATGGGTCTATTGCCATCCTTCTTTCCTCTTCAGAGAAGTTTCTCTGTAGGTCTTTAGCCCACTTATTTATTCGGCAGTTGTTTCTTTGAGGATTTGTTGTTGGGGGATTTAATTTTTTGAGTTTTGGAATATTTTAGATATGGGACACTTGTCTGTTGTATGGCTAGTGAAGAACTTCTCCCAATCCATGGGCTTTCTATTGATCTTGCTAGCCATGTCCTTTGCCATGCAGAAGCTCTGCAATTTCATGCAATCCCATTTGTTCAACCTTTCTTTGATTTGTTGTGTTTCTGGGTCTCTATTAAGAAAATTTCGGCCTGTGACAAGGAGACCTAGAGTTTCTCCTTTTCCATCCTGTAATGTTTTCAGGGTGTCTGCTTTGCACTCCCAAATTACTCAAGCTGATTCAAAACTTTGGCAAAGTAGCAGGGTATATAATTAACCCCCCACAATCAATGGCTTTTCTGTATGCCAACAATGAGAAAAGCATGGCTGAAATCAGGAAAGCAATTCCATTTGTAATAGCCCCACAAAAATTAAAATACCTAGGAATTAACTTAACCAAAGAAGTGAAGGACCTCTATGATGAAAACTTTCAAACCCTGAAAAAGAAAATCAAAACAGAACTTAGAAAGTGGAAAAACCCTCCCATGCTCCTGGATTGGAAGGATCAACATCATGAAAATGGCAATACTTCCCAAGACTATCTACAAATTCAATGAAATAAATATCAATATTCTACCCTAATTCTTCAAGGAAATAGAAGAGGCAATCCAAAAATTCATATGGAACAATAAAAGACCCTGAATAGCAAAACGATCCTCAACAGAAAGAACAGTGGTGGAGGACTATCAATACCAAATTTCAAACTCTACTACAAAGCCATAGTCATCAAAACAGCTTGGTACTGGCACAAGAACAGGCCTTAGGACCAATGGAATAGAATTGAAAACCTAGAAATGAGCCCACAGACCTATAGCCATCTAATCTTTGATAAGGGAGCTAAAAAAATAGAATGGAAAAAAGACAACCTCTTCTGTAAATGGTGCTGGCAAAATTGGTTAATCACTTGTAGAAAACTAAAGCTAGATCCTTATATATCACCCTGCACCAGAATCAACTCCAAATGGATCAAAGACCTTGGAGTCAAAGCAGACACTTTGAAAATATTACAGGATGGAATAGGAGAAACCCTAGGTCTCCTTGGCACAAGCTGAAATCTTCTAGTGTTTTTCAAGCTGCAGTTTGTTGCATTTACCATCTATAAAGCATAAGCTTGAGGGCCTATAAAGCGCTCTGTGAACAGAGATGAGCCAATGCTTCACATGATAAAATGAAGATATGCTAATTCTCCAGTACCTGACAATATAAAGATTGTTTACTATGAACTCTTAACTAGGTACCTTTTCATCAACCCAGGAGACATGCATATTATGCATTTCTGGAAAATAAGGAAATCAGCCACCCCATTTGATTGAAAACAAAACTCTTAAACTTTGTTCAAGAACTCATAATATCAAAGCTATTTATTGCAAATAAAATAGGTTATCATAATATCCAATATTATTAAAGTAGCATATAAAAGGACTTGTTTAATCTTGACTACCTTGATAACATTACTGTGAGGCAGATAATACTACCTCTTGAAATGAGTAGATTTAGAAAATTAAAATTTAGAAAGAAAAATATATTTTTCCAGATAGCAAATCTTGAGTCCACACTTTCTTCCCAGAGTTTTTGACCACATTATCAGATTCTATTGTCTTGTTATTTTGTAAATTTCTATGAAATCGAGGACA